TATAAACGATTATTTTGCAAACTTAACTAAGAATTATCCGAAAGTGAACGAAAATTGGTTGGAATTTCAATGTATAGAAAATCTACCTCTAATTACTGTCGAACAGGTACAACGAGAATTGCGTAAAATTAACCTTAATAAAGCACCTGGTCCTTATGATCCCTCTCTGAAGATCTTGAAGATTTTTACAAAATATTTTGCTGTACCTTTGACCGAAATCTTCAATGAATCTTTTCAATCAAAAACTTTTCCTGAGATCTGGAAAAAATATAAGGTATCTGGAATCCCTAAATCTGTACCATGTACACATGTTGAAGAGTTAAGACCAATTGCTTTAACTAGTGTCCTAGCAAAGGTTCAAGAATCTTTTGCTGTTCAGTGGATATATGAAGATACCGATGAAAAAATTTCTGATTCTCAATATGGGGGTCTACCACGATCATCGACAATTAATGCGCTGGTTAATTTAATACACAAGTGGCATAAATCATTGGATGAACTGCACAGAGTGATAAGAATAGTCTTTTTGGATTTCCGAAAGGCATTTGACCTTATCGATCATAATAAACTCTTAGAAAACATGCGAGAAATTGGTGTAAGACCTGCTCTGATCAAATGGTATGCATCGTACCTGGACGAGAGATCTCATTTTACACAGTTTGGAAACGGAGTATCTGATTTTGCGAATGTTATGGGAGGCGTTCCGCAAGGCAGTAAGCTGGGACCTATTGCTTTTGTGGTTAAAATTAATATGTTACCTAGTGCTATAGCAGAAGCTGTTGTAAGAAATGGAAATAATGATGTCGTTGTGGATGAAGATACGATTCTCTTCATGGACGATACAACGATTAGTGAGGCACTGGATGTTCACAATCATATCTCTGGCACGGAAATTGGTAATATACCCCAAAAAATTATTTCGGTAAAGAATTTTGCGGAAATTGAGAGAATGGAGTTAAACCCAAAAAAGTGCAAAGAGATGATTATCGACTTTCGAAAGGATAGAACAGCTATTCCTGCAACAGAAGTCGATGAATGCATCCTAGAAAGAGTAAGCTCTTATAAATTACTTGGATTGTGGTTAGACGATGATCTAAAATGGAGAACAAATACGGAATACATTGTCAAAAAGGCAGCTAAACGATTATATCTTTTAAAAATTTTAAAAGGATATAATGCTCCGCGAGATGATTTGAAAACTATTTATACTTCGCAATTCGATCAATCGTAGAATATGGAGCTCAAATTTGGCATGGGAGTTTGACAGAGGAACAATCTAGGGATATAGAGAGAATTCAAAAGCGTGCAATGAAAATTATATGCCCGGAAAAGAATTATGAACAAGCATTAACTGAATGTGGTATTAAAACTTTAGAAAGTCGAAGAGAGTTAATGTGCATAAACTTGATAAAGGATATAAAGGACCCTTCACATAAACTCAATGATTTGCTACCACCAACTGTAGGTCAATTACGGGAGAGAGACACGAGACTTAATGTAAATAAAATTTACAATTTTAAATGCAGAACAGAGCGCTTTAGAAATAGTCCTCTAGTATATGCGATTCGTAAGTACAATCTCAAAATTGATGATTCTTAACTATTTTATTAGTTTCTTAATATTTAAAATATAGCTTTTGTAATTTACTTCTAGCTTTGTAATATAGATTAGAGTATGAATTATTGTAATTCTAAAATGTAATATTTCTTAAATTATTTTTATGAACCTGTAAATCACATTGTAATTTAGCTGTTTAAGCTACTTTATGTGTATTTTTTAATATAATAATAATAATAATAATATTTAAGATAACTTAAGACTTTGACCTGTATACAAGTGCTGCTTATAGCTGTCTCCTAGCTTGAATGTTTTTTTGACATTTTCAAGCACTATTATTTGGTGTTACCCTGGTGAGATCAGATTAAATCTTGTTTCTTCCCGACAATATTGTTTGCTTAATTGTCTAGAGGACGGAAGCAATTAAGCTCGCGTATGCATGCTACAACTACGACTGAACAAATAACACCGCTTTAAAACAACGAACTAACTCCTTTCGAAACATAAACAAATGAAAACAAAACATCTACATGCAACACTAAATCAGGTAGGCCTTACAACGAACACAATTACACTTTAGGCGTATTGTTTTATGCGAATGAGGGTCGTTAATATCCATTACCTGAAATTTGCGAGACATTGTGATTTGCATATAATTATACTAAATTGCATTTAACATTCAACAATAATGGCTTTTATTGATTTAACTTTTACTTTAACGTTCTAACGGATCCTAAGGCTCACATCAGTACGATAGCACACCAGCTCTTACACTATATTTTTGCCCGCTGCCGATTGGTAGGGATGGAGACGGTATCCGAGCGAAACGATTGGGCTAGGGGTGAAACGGTGTTTCTTTTGAGTTTGCTGTTTTCGGCGCAGATAATAACTCTACGAACCATGCTATTTTAACGGCACCTCCTCCAAGTATGTCTCCAAGCCAGATGAGGGGTTGGAGTTAGGTTACCGTTAACCTTCTTCACCAGTCTCCAACCCTACAGCAGCGGGGCAACGTTGAAAAATGACTGCGGCGATGTGCGAACGTAGCAAAGGTAAGCTTGGCTAGTTCAACGTCCAAGAGCTTGAATTAGATGATCCGGAATCCCAGCCGCAGCGGCGGATCGAAGTAGCAGCCCCAATGCGAAAACTGTGAGATGAGTAGTTCCCCATTACGCCAGCCCGCCTCAAGATTTTGCGAAGGAAAAAATTGACTTGTTGAGCAGTTAAGGGGAAGCCATCCGACCACAGAAATAAAGGACTAGGGCCGCTGCCACGCATATCGAGGTAAGCCTGAAGCGCCAAGACATGGCAGAGATGATTGTTTGAAGACCCGATGTGCAGGACCTGTCCGACGCCAAGAGGATCAGTCTTGGAACATTTGATTCGGAGACGAATGCCCACTGGCGAACCAGAAGAGAAGTGTACATCAGCTAGTGCCAAATGACGGGACGGAGCGAAAGGGACAACCGAAGTGAGTTCGCTAACACGCAGAAAACCAAAAAATGCCAGGGAGCACGCAGACCAAAACATAACTGCATCGTAGCCGCCAAGATCACCAACCGTCGACGAATGAATAACATCCAATAGATCGCGGGTTATGGGGCAGTGTAACGAGGAAACGCCAGACCGAGAACGACGGATGCCGTGAAGCAGACGACGAAGCCGTGGTTTCTCTTTCGTGGGATCCGGGAAGCCAAGGTCAATATGATAGGAACGGACAGCAGCAAGGTAAACATTGACGGTTGCAGGCGAAAGCGATTGCGCCAACCAATGAATAACATCAACTGATTCTCGGAAGTAGGAATGGCAGGAGCAAAGGAGAACACGGCGGGAAAAAGGGAATAAAAAGCCCAAAACTTTTTCATGCCAGCAGAATACGTGCGCCGAGAGGAAGCTGCCAAACCAAAGGCAAGGAAGCCCGCACACTGCATCTATAGTTGACGCTGAGCAGCTCCGACACCAGAGACAAAGGGACAGACGTGGGACGTGGATCCGCGTTGGGATGAAAGCGACGAAACTCCTGAAACCGAAAACGAGAAAGGCAATCAGCCGCCGAATTTTGCCGTCCAGGGACGTGGCGCGCGGAAATTGAAAAATGGAACCGGCAGGCTACCAACACCAGTCTGCGTAACAAGTGCATGGACAACTTGTCTCGGCAGGTCCCCGAATTGATTATTGCGACGACAGCGTCGTTGTCGGATAAGAACTCGATCTGTAACCGATGCCACTGATAACCCCAAACATACGCTGCAACGACAATGGGAAACAATTCCAAAGCAGTAATATTAGTTGAAGGTGCGAAGGAGGGCCACGAACCGGCAAACCAAGCGTTGGACCAAATAGCACCAAAGCCGATAGCTCCCGAGGAATCAGAGGCAACAAACAAATCGGGAAGCGAACGAACGGATGACATGCGGAAGAAACTGATTATTGCGCCGAAACCGGTATTGAGCCGAATAGGGTGGGTAGGTGAACGAAAAGCGCAGAGCAAATTAATCATACGCCGGAGGAACGTGCGACCGGGCGGAACAACTTTCGTAACGTGGTGAAGCGAGCCGATAAGGGATTCTAACTCTCGACGAGTGCACCAAGACTTACGATTCCATTTTTGGAGAAGCTCTACGATAGCCACAAATTTAGCGGATGGCAACCGAGCAGATTGGGTGACACCTAAAAAGACTAACGTAGTAGCAGGACTCTCGCACTTTGACGGGATGGAGAGGCAAACCCAAACGGAGGAATAAGGACCTGGCGATGGCTACATTACTAGCGCACTCGGTGGAGTTGCCGGGGCCAAGGGTCAGGAAATCATCAAGGTAGTGAAGTAGAAAACGAAAGCGATAATTAGCTTTAAGAATCCATTCCACCATTTCGGCGACGGAGTTAAAGATAAATGGGGCGGAACGCAGACCAAACGGAAGAGCCAAATCGACGAAATATGACTCACGCCACCACCTGCCAAATTAGAAACGTTCGTCAGGTCTGAGAGCGATGTTACGGTACGCACATTCTACGTCAAATTTGGCCGTAAGAGCACCCGGACCAAGCTGTACTAAACGAGCAATGGCATGATCGACGGAGATGTAAGTCAAGGAGAAAGGATCCTTGGGGATGCCGTCATTAACGCTATGGCCTTCGAGTGACGACAAATCCAGAATGAGACGCCATTTACCAGGCTGGGCTTTCTTTGGAATGACCCCAAACGGGCTGCACTGTAGATTAGGAAACGGGGGCGAAGCAAAAGGACCCACGACACGACCATGCGAAATTTCATTTGCCAAATATTTGTCGATAACATCGGGATGTTTCAAGGCCGATATCATGTTTCGGTGCGATGATCGTAAAGAGACTAGCGAAGGATCAAAACCAGACGGAAAGCCGTGAGCTATACCATCCAACACGTAACAAACCATAGATTGATTGGGATGGTTGATTAATTCCCGATGAAACTCGACGTATTGAAGCGGCGAAACGCGGGAGACCAACGGAAACAGGATGCGGGATTCCGGCGACGGTGGATCTACAGCACGAACGAAGGCACCTACAACGGAGCAGAAAAAACGCAAGAACAGCGAGCTGAAGCGAACGGTGCGAACGGTGCGAACGGCGCGAACGGCGCGAACGGCGCGAACGGTGCGAACGGTGCGAACGGTGCGAACTGTGCGAACGGTGCGAACGGCGAAGCGAACGGTGCGAACGGTGCGAACGGTGCGAACGGTGCGAACGGTGCGAACTGTGCGAACGGTGCGAACGGTGCGAACGGTGCGATCGGTGCAAACGGTGCAAACGGTGTGAACGGTGCGAACGGTGCGAAGGGTGCGAACGGTGCGAACGGTGCGAACAGTGCGCAACTTAATCACAAGTGAAGCTAGATAAATATTTTATTCAGCAAATTCATAACCGAACACGAATTACAAAAAAGACTAAAATATCGCACAGAACAATGTTAACGTCCGGAACAAAAGCAACAAACAAACCGACTACTACGTATTAACTAACGACGCGAGGTGTCTGATGATCGACGCTTCTTCGCGGGTTGCGAGCGAGATGGTGAACGAGGAAGACGTGTAGACTGGTGGGCCACGCTACGACGATGGATTGCAGGACAACCCGGAAAATCACAGGAATGACGGAACCGACACTGGAGGAATTGCGATGAGCACCGACCAGCGTTCCAAGAGTGACAAATAATGGATGACGACGGGGTACCGGACGCTTCAAGGGAGCTGGAGGACGAGGAAAACGAAGTAGATACCCGCGAAGCAGGAGTAGAAGAAACACCGGCGCCAATGATATGAAAATTATACAGCTCCGGGTGGAGTTGTGACCAATCGGTGAGGCGGAGAGCAGCTGCATGGCGACGAAAAGCGCGATCGTACGCGATCCACCCCGAGCCATGCAGGATGCTTTTGAGCGGAGCGCAATATAAGTAGCTGGTAGCGAAGCAAATCCGGGGTGCGAGACGGCCAAAAATTCGTCATCACGAGGATATAAACAGAAAAGGCTTGGAGCCAAGTTAGAATATCTGTAATTTCCTTAGGGCGCTTTGACGGTCACAAAACTAATTCGTTATCACCGATGGTAAACGAAGGAGCGTCATGAACTGAAGTTTCTTCGATAAGAGGCCAACTCGACAAACTCGCCGTTGAAAATTGATGCTATAAGCTTCGGGGATACCGGAGGAAAACCAGGCCCGACCACGAGAGGAGAAAACGCCGATGCGGTGACCGTAGAGAAGCGAGGGGGCGAAGCAATACCACCAAGACCCGAGACAAGACTAAGACCCGAGACACTACGATACGAAGACCCGTATAACATTAACTTCCTTTATCATTTAATAATAAATACATATAAAAAACGTAAGCAAAAGTACAACACCTATAATTGCCGTTGCCCTCGACGTTCCCCACTGTTTGCCGACCTCTCGATAAATGTAACTACCGTTTCGCAACGTTTTCATAATCGAATTACTTACCTTGGCTGTTTCTATGCTCCGTCGTGTTGAAATGTGTATATATGCTTCGTATGGTTGAATATATACGCTTCGTATGGTAACTATGGTTGTGTATAATTATACGCTTCGTATGGTTACAATTCTAACTGCATGTATGTGATTTCGAACATGTGGAACGGGTTTACCTGCATTATGAGACTGATAATATTTTTTAAAGTTACCGCAGAAAAAATACGGACCGTACATGCAGGAATAATTATATCAGCGGGCCAGACAAAAGAAAATATCTTAAACAAAATTTTTTGGTATATTTCACGTCAATTCATCAACAATCCCAATCCAATGTTCGTATGAATGTGAGCGATTTTATAAGTTCGTTGAGAGAACCTGGCCAAAGTTTTGAGCAATATATTTTTAAATTTGGCAGACTGCAGAAATACCCAAGGTAAATGATTCGGTTACCATAACGTTTCTAAACAGCTGTTCTATCCATCTAGAGGTCGGCAAACAGTGCTGTTATCTGTTGCTCTGACGTTACGACGTTTTATTGGAAAACTTGAGGGCCATTATGTACATATGATGGATTAAATGCAAATTAGCGCAAAGGCCACAGCCAATTTGTCACCAATTTCTGGTAATGCGTCAGATTTTCTGCATATTCAATAACACAACACTTAAACAGAGTCAAAGTAGACATGAATAGAAACAGACCACATGTCTGCATTAATTTAAAGGAAGATAAATATTGAATATAGCATTCAATTATTATAGTTCATCGTCTTTACAATATTTTGAGAATTTTCTGTTGTCAATATCATCAAAATTAATCACTATCGGCAGTGGCGTAGCCAGCCTGACGATTTAGTCATGCTATGCAAATTATGTTATTATCATTTATTATGTTATTATCATTATTCATTTCTTTAGAAATTCATTGTTATCACAGTCAAAGAACACCAAAATATTAGCATAGCATGACTAAATTGTCGGGCTGGCTACGCCACTGACTATCGGAATGCTTCATTATCTTTTCTTTATCTTTACTTTACTACATAACTTATCGAAGTTATTCCTTGCAGCTACCTGCAGGTAAAAAATGTTGTGTTAATGCTCAACTTACACTAAAATACTTTTTGTTCGCGAAAAATCAAAAACGAATAAAAAATAAGAGGTAAATTATAGTAAAAAAGGGTAGACATAGGATAGACTTTCTTTGACTGAGCGGTTTTTGAATGTCGAATATGATTGTTCAGTGTTCTTTCCTTTTTTTCTCTACGAATAAATTATCTTCCTGTAATTTTATCCAAAATGACAGCTGAAATAGCCTGCAAAAGAACTCTTTAACGCGGAGCACGCTTGTGCAGCTTTAGCGAACACCAAGCTAAATCTCTGAATGCTATCTGTAAACCAACCGTGCAGTAGGATTAATTTTAATTTAATGTTAATAGGTTAGCCTTTGTGCAAATATAAACTATTTTTATGGGCAGGGCCGGAACTCTGATGCAGATAAAGAGGATTTCTGCGGCCTCTTTATCTACATTCCAAACATAATAATAATATGGGAAAAAATGTTTCCTTATCTCCATGCATGGCCAATGTCACAGATGTTATTCTACACTGAAACAACAAATTTAAATTTGCGTATATTAACCAGAAAAACGGGTAAAAATACTGCTTGAGGACCTAACGCGTTAACCGAGCTAACGCGTTTAGAACCATGCAACAATTAAAATCACAACATATCGACATTGCAAACGAGATTGGATGGGGATTTTATATAAACGGGATCGTTAATATCGTAAGAAATTCTTAATGAGGTCAAATAATACACTTAAACATGTCAAGAGACCACAGGTACGTACCGGTAAGGTATTGATTAATTGAGAAAAATTGATATTATATTGAAAAGAGGAATAATTTTTCACTTCATAGTCTATTAAATATTTCAAGAATTTTGCAGTCCCAATATCAGCCTGTCATGATCTGGATGCTTCATTCTATTTTCATTGTTTTTAAGATTCAAAATACATTGCTAGCTGCATGCATGGCCACTAAATAAAACATTCCTTGATATGGTATGGTATATATAACAACAAATCCCATACATGAGTATTAAAGAGCTGAATGTTACATTGGTACTAGAACTTTAAACGTTGCTTTTTTCCAGAGAGAGAAAATACTCAAAATGAGGGACAAATATTATATACTCATGTTCAGCATTATTCGTTTCCTTTGTAATTGATTGTTTTTACGGTACGGTTTCTTAACAAATATGTTAATGGTTCTCGACTTCTCGACTATTGAAATCTAATATTCTTCACACCGAAATCAAAATATTGAATCAATTGTTTTCTTCTCACTTGGTAACCCTGAGTGGTTTTTTTGTGTAATTATGTGATCATGCACTTTGGGCAAGAACATTATCAAAGAGAATGTTTGAATATGGGCATTGGGACATCAATATATATTTTTTGATAAACCGTTTCGAAAACAGCATGTACACGACATCGTATTGAAATCTTCATCAAAGTTGGTATTTTTCAAATATGAATTCGCTTTTGTTTCTTGTGCTTCTTATTTCTGTCACTCATGCAATAGGTATGCTAAAATATTAAATTGCATAATTCTTGAATCCCTACAGAGCAGATTCCGAACAGCTTATATTACTTGACACGTTAATTTTAGGTGTATTGAATGGCGCATCAAATCATACACCCTTTCTAAGAAAAGCGGGAATGAGTACGTTTCTTTTTTATTACCTATATTTAAATATACCATATTCCTTGTGTTACGCATTCAGTCTCAAGACGAAACTTTATTTATCAGTTCGTTATTACAGCACTTATGGTCTAATGGACTGTTGATTGATGCTAGTTAGAGGAACTTTATAATGCTAGTACTTACTGCTTTGCAATATTTAATAATCCAGTGTAAGTTCTGTTTGAGTGCAGTACGTGCTAGCAGCACTGTTTAACTGTATTTTGACTGACGTAACTCCTCTAGTGTTACACTTTAAGTCGTCTTCCACGTCATTAGATCATTGCGGTACTTTTACTCTGACTGATTGCTCTCACTGCTTCTGGCAATACTAGCCTGACTTATCTACTAACAGGGCCGTCCCTTTCTTTTAATCTTATACTATTTTTTTATATCTCCTTGCTGAAGATTTCGAAGCACCTTGTAAAGGTTGTGTCAATTTATGTTTCTCGAAGTACCATTGTAAAATGTGTTTGAAAACATCATGTCTTCAGGGGAATTGTACTTGTAAAACTATATTTAGAAGGGTTAGTATTTGTTTGCAATCTATTTTGTTCGTAAGAATTTTCAGAGTATCTTCATATGAGTTTCCGCGTTACCTACGGCTTACTTATGAAATTGAAAAAAAAACGCTCCTTCATTACTGATTGGATTTTTGAACTTTTTGGGGAGTCTTACGGATTAAGTCATGTTAAACAATCAATTTATGAATTTCTTGCAGTGTCGTTTCACGAGTGGTTGTCAAAGTGTGGTTTAACCGGCATATAGCCAAAGTTATTCATGTAATTGCTGATGATATATAAACGAGGTCTCTCAAAAAATATATTTCTTTGTCTTTACGCTCTTTTTATGATTGCATATATAAACGAGATTCATTAATCACATTTTGTCTCACAAACTAGTATAAATATTATTCCTTTCCTAATTAAAGTCCGACTTCACCCGGATTGTGAACTGCATCTACTCGATTAGGGGAAACATAAACTGATTCCAGGCAACCTCACATCCTGTCTCTTTCTTCTTTTACGTCATGCTTTATTCTTTCAATTCCCGCCCCCCTTCACTCACTCCACTTCTTCTTCCTTTCCCAGTACACCTCCTGCCCACTCCTTAAGCTGTTCGCCCTCTTCTCAAGCTTTATGGTTCACCACCTTC